TTTTTGTCACCTTGACATAAAACTAGACATACCTGGGGAGAGGAACTCTCAGTTGAAGAAGTTCCTCCTTCAAGCTGACCTGTGGCAATGTCTCTGAGGCAGTTCCTTAATTACTAACTGATGCAGGAGGACCTAGCCCATTGCAGGCAGTACCATCCTTAGGCAGATGGGCCTGGACTATATAAGAAATGTAACTGGGCAAGCTAGGGAGAGCAATCCAGTAAGTAGTGTTCCTCTGTGGTTTCTGCTTCAATCTGGCTTCTCTCAGTGACAGCCTATAACCTGTAAACTGAAATAAGCCATTCTCTCCCCAAGTTATTTTGGTCGGTGTTTTATCACACCAACAGAAAGCAAACTAAAACACATGGTAAATTTGACAGATTCTAGAATCAACTGGAAGACTGACATCTGGACATGCCTATGGTGGGTTACTTCAATTGCATTCATTGAGATGGGAAAAACTGCCCTTTGTGGGTGGTACCTTCTGCTGGCTGACATGTTGAACTGTAAAGATAGGAAAGGAATCAGAGCAACAACACGTACCATTGCTCTCTGTTCAAGTGATGTGACTGTGTCAGGCTTCTGGCCCCTACTTCCACCATCATGGACTGGACCCTTGAACTATGAACCAAAATAAACTCCTTTTCTCCTTTAAGTTGTTTTTGGCAGGGTATTTATTACAGCACCTGAGAAAGTAACTAAGATACTTGGTGTAAGTAAAAATCCAGCTACAAATCCAAACTCAAACTGTGTGGCAGGCCAGCCTATAATCTTAGCACTGTGGAAGCTGTGGGTGGAGGATCTTGAGTTCAAGACTAGCCTGGGCTACATAGTGAGTTTCAGGCTAGCATTAGTTTGCAATGTGAAACTATGTTTCAAAAAGCAACAAATCACCAAAATGAAGATAATGAAATATTTCAACACAGACTCTAGGCAATTAATTGCCTGGAGGAATGATGCCCTTCCCGTAATATAGGGTGGCAAATTAAACAGGAAGAAAACAATTCAGTGCATGGAGAATACAACTACTCACATGCATTTCCAAATGCCATGCTTTTCTGTAAGTTATATGTGAACATATAAAGTTCACAGCATTCTACAGAGATATTATTAATTTAAAAAAAACACCACCACACAAAATAAGTCATTTAAAAAACAGTAAGGCTGGCCTTGGGGCACCTGAAGGCAGCCTGGTGCAGTTGGTCTGAGGACTGCCGCTCAATAAGCACCTCACCCTGTACTTACTGTCTTGAAACAGTTCCCAAATGTTAAATGCTGATTTCCTCCAGTGTAAAGTGAGGCTGGTAATTACCAACTTGCAAGATGTTGTAAGGATCAGGTAACGGGCAAGGTACCTTCTCACCAGGATGCTCATTATCCGACACTCTGCAGTACTGAGCTGGTGAAGGAACTCCACATTCCTCAAATCAGGGCAACAATCACTGAAAAACTAATCTCATTCCAATCCTGAGCCGGTTTACTCTGTCTCATTCTCAGATTCCTATCATTTCACTATCTTTAGATGATGCTACATCTATAACGGCTCATGCAATTTCAGTGCTCATTAATTGCAAAGTGCTAATGTACATCTTGAGAAGGAGCCAGACTTTATGAAGTATGAAAAGTGAAGATGTAAAGCTGAGAGGTGGCACGATGCAGACTAGTGCCACAGCCCGCAGCTTTAAGTATCACACACACTCGTGACTGGACACACACCCTTGAGCAGCGTTGCTTAACCTTTCATTGCTTCCGTTTTCCCATCTATAAAGTGGAAATGCTGGTGTTAACTACAGCAGGGATTTATTACCATGGAAAAAGTTTGAATTTGTAAAATGGTTATAAACCCCAACAGTTGGTGAATCCTTATAAATACATGAGACCTTATTGAGTAAAAGTAGAAACTGACAGAGCTACTTCTTCATGGAAAAGCCATTGAAGATTGAAGTAGAATGATTAAAAACTGAAGAAAACTAGGAGGTTCACAAGAGGACAAACCCCACAAAAACTAATGAATAATGATCTGTCGATCATAAAGGCTGAGGGGAAGTTACAGAGGTAGCTGCCATTCCGGTTCAGTTTCAGACACGTAGAGAGTGTCCTTTTCTATCACTGGTATCAGATATGAGGGGGGGTGGTTGGCCTTCAGGATGGCAGCAGATGGTGCCCCAGTTCTCGGTGTTCACTCACTCCTGTGACCTCCCTCTACTGATTGTACCAGATTCAGTCTCTGTGATGGACAGTAGCAGGGATGATAGTCTGACAATAAAGTCTCTGTTGCCCCCACATCCTCTCCTCTCCCCTGCCTGCTCCATCTCCAACCATGCTACTCTTTCTGGAAGAAGGTGGCTATCAGGGGCCGCACAGCCTTGGGAGAGGAGAGGCCATATATTAGGTTTTTAAGGACTTTGCCTAAACCTGGAAAGGACCAAGAGGTCCTTCCGACAAGTTGGAACCAAGTTCTACAGTTTCAGATGACTGCAGCCCATTCAATAAATTTCTGCCACCTCAGGAGAGACCCTGAGCGTTAACCACCCTACTCACACCTGGTACTCAATCCACCGAAATGGGGGGAGCTAATAGAAAGTAGAATTGTGAGTGCCTAATGTGGGGATTACTTTTATATGTAGCAACAGATATAAGCAACTAATATAAGGTCGAAGGAACTTCCGTGTATTATTTTGCAAAAAATCAGGTATATTTACTATTTATAAGATAATTCCAATTTTACTCTTACACAGCCTATAAAGGCCTACGTGATCTCTGATTGTTGTTTATCTTACGTAAATGCCACACGATCTCTCATCCTTTAGGTTTGTAGAACATGTGAAATACATTTCCACCCGTTGGCCTTTGCAGTAAATATTCCTTCTCTTTTAGTTTCTTTTCCTGCACAAATCTGAATATCCACATGGTTCATTTTCTCCTCTTTCCTGCCTTTGTTCAAATGTCCCCCCATCATCAAGGCCTGCCCTGGCTGCCCTATTTAAAACTGTAGCCTCTCTCAACTTTTCTGATATTTTCTATTGCCCACGAACATATGTAATAATTTAATTCATGTTGATTCTCTCGAGAACCAGCTCCATGAGGGCAGAGATTTTCATCTTTTCAGACTCTTGTGCACCAGTGATACTTAGTAGGTATTCAATAAATATTTGCTGATATCAACTTAAGTTCATAAGAAAGGATCCATTTTCAAAAGACCTGCTAAAGTTAGCATGAACAGAATCTATGGGCCTGTTACTAAGTTGAATCCTTATCAGCATTCTTTCCAAGGGGAATCTTATCTTACCAAGGATGCATAGAAAAAGACTTCCCTTTCTTTCCTCTTGATGTTCAGATTTTTTTTTTATTACCAATTCTGCATCTGAAAATACTCACTGTACTTAATAAAAACTAAAGATGTAAATCAGATGTTGGTTCTGCAGATGCAAGAAGACTATGACATAGATTGTGAGGACATCTGGAAGACATGCTTCAAACAGAGTGTGATGGGCCAGGAGAAGCAGATTCATGGACTGTGAGCAGTGCAGACGTGGGTGCAGAGGTGGACTGTGATCACTTGAGGTAAAGCTCAGCTGCTGCCATGTTAAAACTCTTAATATGTTTAGGAACAAAGAGGCCTCTATTTTCACTTTATAACTGTTAGGCCAGTCCTGTGGTCTACAGAAGACCATATTATTCCTCAGGTACCACTCACAGTCCAAGGCTCTAAGAAGAGATAGAATGCTCAGAAAAACAGACAGAACTTCTGAGACTGATAACCACCCCAAACAATCAATATATAAGAAAAAATGTTTTATTTTTCTTCATGTTTCTGAAGGTTTCAATCTAAGATCAGGCACTCAGCCCCAATCTTTTGAACATTTGCAAAGTTAAAACATCATAGCAGGGGTAGTAGCAGAGCAAACTGCATATAATATGAGCCAGGAGGCAGCAAAGAATTGCACGGATGGTCCCACAGTGCACTTAAGAGCATGCCTCTGACAATATAAGGACCTTCCATTGATGTTTCCATAAGCTACCATCAGCAACAAAGGACAGGCCTTTGGGGACCTCCACATCCAAACTTCAGCACCAGCCCTAGTTTCATTTTCCTTTAACAAAAGGAAGTGGAAAAGAAACAGCCTGGGAGCTGTTTCAAACCATGGCTTGATCATCAGTCATGTAACAGGGAAGTTGGTTGAGAAGGAAGAGCCTTCACATTCCTGGGAACATGGTGATCAAGGCTTTCTTTATAAAGGAACTGTTTTTGGTCAAAACAAAATGAGAAAGAAGAAGGAGGAAGAAGAGGAGGAGAGGAGAGGAGGAGGGAAAGGAAGAGGAGGGGGGAGGAAGAGCAGGAGGAGAAGGAAGAGAAGGAGAATAAGAAAAAGAAAAGAAAAAAGGAAAAACAGAATCAGGACCCACTCCAAAATCAGAATTCCTATTTCCTGTGCACATTCTATTCTGAGGGACAGTTGTATATTCCCATGGGCCAAGGATGATATAACAAACAGTCCTCTGGAATCACCGGGTGTTATTAAAAGAAAGCCTTGTCCCAGTCCACCAGAAAATCCTTTACCTTTGGGACTGAAGAGATGGCTCAGTGGCTAAAAGCACTGGTTGCTCTTGTACAGGACCCTGGTTCAGTTCCCAGAATGTACATGGCAGCTAACAACCATTGGTAACTACAGTTCCAGGGGGTCTGAAGTCCTCTTCTGGCCTCTATAGGCATTGTAAACACGTGGTGCATTTACATACATGTAGGCAAAACAGTCATACACGTGAAAGAAAAATAAATAAATAAAAATTATAACAAAAGAAAAGCCTTTACCGGTGATGTGGCTAGACTATTCACTGATGTCAGCTCTTCCTGTAGTCCCTAGCATGGGCTATTAGGTATAAAAATGGTTAAGAAAAATTAATTAATTAACTAATTAAAGTAAGGGGAGAATGCATAACGCATGGATTAAGAAGTAAGCCAAGCGAGACATTTTAAAACAATATTAATTTAAAAATATTTATATTTTTATTTTTTTGGTCCTCTCAGAGCCAGATATTAATTTTTTAAAAGTCACCTTAACAGTAGGATAATTTACACTGTACACAAAACTGACTGCCTTGACTATTATGAAGCGTTTGAGAAGAATTACTTCAGTTAAATCTTACCACAAACTTAAGTAGGTGCAACCTTTCCCTTCGCAAATGCAGAAATGGCCATATTATTGTAGATAAAATAGTGTGTTTTTTGCACAAGAGTAAAATTTTGTCACACTTTTACAAATGTCTGTTCAGCAACGACGCAGTGTAAATTCACACAATTTTATCTACATACAGCCTGCTAAATTCAACAACTTGCTCGAATTATTCCATTTGAAATGAAAAGAATAATGGGTTTAATCTTGAAAGACAGGAAATATAATAGTTTATATTTTCGTGTTACTGCAGAAAGCATGCCTTAGTTGGTTTTGGTTTTTTTGTTTTTATATTTAATTAATTTATTTATTTTTCTATAAGATTAGATGCAAAACCTCTGAAATGAATAGCAAAGATCAAACAAGCAACAAGCCCCAACAGCTTCCTTTCGTTCAAGTCGCCAAGTTCAGAGCCTTGGGGGCCTTGAGAAGAGCGCCACTCTGCAGGACATGCACCCCACTCCGGCAGTGGGCGGAGCCGGAAAACCGAAAGCGAAAGCCCTGGGCGCGGCGGAGCGCGGCGGAGCTCGGCGGGCGATGGAGCCGCCGTGGCCCTGGCTCTGGTTGCTGTGCTGCTGCGAACTCTGCCTTGGGGATGCGCGCCCCAGCGCCACTGTAGCCCGGACCTGGCCGCGGAGCCGCGAGCGAGAGGCGGCAGCCTTCCGGGTACCGACTGAGCCATTTGCTTCCTTGTCCTTCCCTCGCCTCCTAGCCTTGATCCCCCAGCAGAGGGTTTTCTCTGTGGGTTGATGCAGTGCGCCGCAGACCGTCGAAGGATTGTCGGGTAGTAGGTCTGATGGGAAGCAGCATCTCCTAGCTGGCCGCGGGGCCTTGCCTCCCGGCTCCCGAAGCTGCTCCAGTCCTCCTTGCTCAGACCCAGATTCAGGAAACCAACCTGGGGCTTAGAAGGACGCCCGCAGGGGGCGCTGCTGCTCTCCTAGAATCGGAAGTGAAGTGCCAAGGGCAAGTTCAAGCTGCCAGCCCTGGTGGAGACTGTCCTAGAACAAAAAAGAAGTGTTTCATTTCCATTTTTGCCCCAGATTATTTAGAAAAGTTTTCAAAATAATCCTTCAGTTTTACTCCAACCTTAAAACTCTGAATGAGACCAGTTAGCTGAGTGCCGATTGTTTGCCGGTACCTAGGGAAACTGCAAGGGATGTGGATTTACAGTTGGCCTCTGGTCCTGTAGTAGGTGCTAGCTGACACACCTTAAGACCTAAAAAGATGCCATTACGATTTTACTTATTAGAAAGGAAAATTCATTCTGAACTAAGAATCAGTCCGAATTCAGTAATATTGCTCATTGGAAGTATATCTAAAGTATTGAGTATTAGAGGCTCACAGTGATCAGTGTGTTGTTTCTTTCCTCATGGCTGGGACGAAATACCCAACAAAAGCCACTTAAAGAAAGAAAGGTTAATTTTTGTTAGTAGTACAGTCCATCATGGTGGAGAAGTCATGGTGGTAGGAATCTGAGGCAGCTGGTCACATTGCTTCCACAGCCTGGAGAGGAGAGAGATGAGTGCTGGTCTCAGCGGGATTGCTCTTCTGTCCTAGTCCGTGACCCCATCCTATGAAATACTTCAGCACATTTATGGTGGGTCTTTCCTCTGTCAACCAAATCTAGAAACACCTTCACAGATTTCCCCAGAGGTTTGTTTCTATGGTGATTCGAGATCCCATTAAGTGGACATTCAAGATTGAGCATCACAACCATTTATAAATAATATTAAAATGGAATTTATGTTGTAAGTCATAATATGCATACCTGCTATATTTGTGTCCCATAAGGAGTTTGTAACCCAGAGATGAATATCTAGAAAATGCAACTCTCTTCAGGAGAATAAATAAGGGTGCAAATGGGAAAGTGGAAAGTTGTACATTCAGGAAAACATTTTAAATCTTGCTACATTTTAGAAACTTTGGGTTGAGAATACCAAAACAGTTTGCAAACTTTTCAGATTCCTATTATTAATAGGAATTTGCTTGATCAGGTGGATGCATTGAAAATAGAGCATTTAGACTTTAAACTATATTTGCAAGAAATTGTGAACAGCCCCCTAGATGCTGGACCTCGGGTGGAGAGCTGGACATGTGAACGGGAGCAATGGCTTTATTTCTCTGGTAACCATGAGCGTGGGAAGGTTTTTTTCCTGGCTTTACAGGATGATTTAAAATATATGGTAAGTAAAACCCAGTTTATAATTCTAAACAGTTATGTCAACTAGAATATTCTTAAATGAAAATTAAACTGTACCTGTAACACTCTTTCACAAGCTATCATTACATTACTACCAAATGAGACAGACTCCTCCATGGTTTATTGTAGGATGCCTTATAGAATACCTGACTACAAAGAAGGGACAGTGCTCCCGCATAGAATTTGAGTGCTCAGCAACCTAAGTGTGTGCACATGTTTGCTGATGCTCTTTATTTTGACACTTAACTTTCATTTGACTATTCCTGTGGATTCTAGAGAAGCATAGAAGGCTGGTGTGTGAGTCAGCTTTCTGATACTGTAACAAAATACTAAAGGAACCACTGTTAGAGGAGGAGATCTTCATTTGGTCTCTTGGTTTCAACCCATGGTCACTTGGCTTATAGCCTTGAGCCAGTGGCAGCAGAGTGGCCCAAGGCAGGAGCATGTGGTACAAGAGACCTGTTCATTTCCTGGCAGCCAGGAAGCCAAGGGGCAGGGGCAGGTACTAATATGCCCTCCAAGGAGCATCAAGAGTACTTCATAATCAGAGCTTATAGGGGCTATAGATGTTGCTTTAGGTCAAATCAAAGTTGGAAGTCCTCATACTCCTTCAGAATAATATTGATGTGCCAATTAGGATGTGCTTGTACCGCCTTAACACTTGCTGTAATGTCATGATACATTGTTGTTAAAATATACATGCTTCTCAGCTTATCTGTATATAAATTGTATTATCAAATCTTTTAATTTTTTTTCTTCATTTTTTGTGTTTATGAATGCTTTGCCTGCATATATTTAAGTGCACCTATGTCATGCAGTCTCCACAGAAGTCAGAAGATGTTAGATCCTCTGGAACCAGAGTTATGGATGGTTGTTAGCTGCCATGTAGATGCTGGGAACCAAACCTGGGTCCTCTGCAAGAGCAGCCAGTGCTTTTAACTGCTGAGCTATCTCTCCAGCTCCAATATCAAATCTTTTAAGTGAATGATTATAATGAGTGAACCATAGATACCTGCTTGCTGAATCCACCATTCTAAAATTTGGGTTATCTCCTCCAAATAAACTTGATCAAGGCTTGGAAAGTATCTTAAAGATATGAGTCTGAAATTAGGTAATTAAGTTTAGTAGACATTTTTCTGATGGTTTTAGTTCAAACCATACATTGTCTAAATGGAAATATATAGAAAAACTTTTAAAATATCATTGATCAAAATACGTTCATTCATTTGTCTTTCTGACCACTCATTCATTCAACAACTTATCATTTAGTCTGAATAAGGACTGATCTAGATTTCCTTACTGATGAACTAAAGCCTAATATATGTGCAGGCCTCTAAAGTTATATAATGAGCAAGTATTCAATGTTTAAACATTTAAAAAATATTTTATCTATTTTATGTGTATGAATGTATTACCTGCAAGTATGTAAGTGCACCTGTGTCTTGCAATGCCCACGGAGTCAGAAGATGGTGTCAGATCCCCTGGAACTGGAATTATGGATGGTTGTTAGCTGCCATGTGGGTGCTAGGAATTGAACCCGGATCTTCCACAAAAGCAGCCAGTGCTCCAAATCACTGAGCCGTCTCTCCAGCCACATATTTAAACACTTTTAAAGGTTAAATTTTAAACATTGTATGAGAATATGTAAGTCACAGTACTTGACTGAGGCAAGAGGATTGCTTGAGCTGAGGAGTTTGAGACAAACCTGTGCAATGTACTCTATCTGAAAATATAAATCATAAATATATATATATATAATATATATTTCACTATAATTCATTTCCCAGTAAACAAAGAGTATGAATTTCCATAATTAGAAAATAGATTCCCCAATTAATTCATAAAACACATAAAAACTAATTCACAGATACACATTATTTTACTTTTCATGGTGAACGTGTATTATTTATATATAGACTTCAGCACACTATAGGTAAATGTTTTGTCTAAGAAACTTTCCTAAAGTAGGAATTTATAAAACCTGTCCTAGGACAACTTTTTGCTCTAGTTGGTTTTCAACAGGGACACTGCTGGTATTTCAGGATGGATGCTATTTGCTGTGGGCATCATCCTGTGAGTTGTAGGGTGTTTAGAGCTCGGACTCTGAGTGTGAGATGCAGTAGCATTCTCCAAGTTTGAACAAAGGATAAAATAATTATCAGCTGTGAATCACAGATCTAAGGTTTGGTTTGCAATCCCCATGTCTTAAGAGAAGCTCTCAGCAATGAGCCCATGTTGAGCATATTTTACCTTTTTTTTTTTTTTTTGCTCATCCTTACATTTGCTGCACCATCCAAAACCCCAGTCACTTCCAAGGTGAACATGTCACATGTATACACAAGGCTGAACGTTTGTCCTGCACCAAACTTTAGAATCTGCTAATGAGGACGGTAAGAGACAAAGTTTTACAGAAGGACAAATAGTGAGTTCAGAGTGCTGAAGGGAAAGTGAATACAAGCCAGGGGGTGAAGGGAGCCTTTCATTCAGTCTTAGCTACTTGACAGGCTGAGGCTGGAGGATCACGTGAGCCCAGGAGTTTAAGACCAGGACTGACAGTATGGCAAAAATCCCATCTCTTAATCTGAAAAATGATGATGAAATGTATGTCCTATGAACGTGAGCCTCATCACAGGGGGAAACGTTATTACATATATTGGTAGAGCAAATAAGCCATAGTTAACAGAAGAAAGTTTATGTAGTAATGAGGAATTCCATACACCAAATTGCCATGGCAATCTGTGCTAATAAAATCCACATGAAGCCCCATAAAGTATGTGTCCCTTCTGCTAGGGCTCTTCAGGCTGAATGGCCAGACTCCTGCACCAGATGCTGGTTGTATCACTTTAGGAAAATCAAGCATGCATTCATGTCTCAGTTTATTCATCTCTGAAGAGCAGGTCAAGTGAGTAATTCCTTTATACAGAACTATCAGTTCACAGAAAGAGCTTAGAACAAGCTTAGAACAAACACTTCCAATTAGCCAACTCTTCCACCCCTTCAACTACATATTTAGTGAATTCAGTGGCTAGGAACATTCTTCATAGAGATCAGAAACCCCGAAAACTTGGTCTTTAAGAATTTGCTTACTTCCCCAAACCACTGAGCACAGCCAAAGAAAAAATGCATTTAAAATATTCTTCTTTACATTAAATCAGTGAGAAAGATTTCCCTGACAGCTGTCCTTTAAGGGATAGATTCAGGACCCCTCCCAACCTCCCATGGCTTTCTACTCTTAGATCTTTTTGAAAATAACTCTCTCTCAGCTATCCTAAACAAAACAGCTTTCTAATACTTTACTACCCATAGTTGGAAAGTTTAGGAATTTTTTTTTTTGGTGTGGGGGGGTCAAGATGCCTGAAATGGAATGAGAGACTTTCTAATTTTGTAAGAAAAATGTTAGTTTCTGAAGAATTTTAAAACTTCCTAATCGCCACATGAGACCAGTTCAGGCCTTTTATCAATGTAGTTATCTTTTGTCATCACTAGCCTGAAACAACCCTCCCCTGCATGCTTCTGGTTTTCAGTAAATACTGTCATTCCTTTCTAATTATGGGCTTATAGGAACCTCAGAGCATTAATGTAACATCCTAGCTAGGCCAGTAAAGCAATAGATTAAAATACTGAAGGGGTGCATAGGAAAATCTCACAGTTGAATTTTAGTTCTCATATGTGATCCCACACATTCACATACATACATGCCTACACACATACACATGCACACACATGCATGCCTGTACACATGAACATACAGATACATGCATGCACATTCACACTCATACATGCCTCCACATGCTCATG